ATATTGTTATCAGAATCATCAGAATCATCACTAGGTGATTGGTAACTGGATGAAGTATTGGGATGATCAGAAGAGGAGTTACTGATATATTGATTTAATTGGAATATTTCATATAATTGATTTTTGGAATTATCATCAATTTGGAGTTGATTAACTTTATCTTTTAGTTTTTGTTTTTCTTTACATTTATTTGAATAATGACCTTTTTTACCACAGTTATAACAAGTAACATCTTTAGTAGATTTAGATTTCGGATGTAATTTGGATTTATAATATTTCTTTTTAGGTTTAGTATAGAATTTATCATTTGATTTGGAAGGTGAATAATTCTTTTTATATTTATTAGAATATTTGTACGATGATTTATGTTTATGTTTGGAATATTTGTGTGATTTCCTACGAGAGGGAGCAACAGGAGGTAAACCATATTGTTCACAGAAATTGCCTAATTCATAATTAGCTTTATGTTTATCTTTGTTAGCTTTTTGAGTAAGTTTAAGATCAATACACATTTTTAAACCTTCTTTTTGAATAGTGCTAATGATATCACCATATGTTAAATTATCATATTCAATAACACCAGTGGGTTGACTAAGAACATCTCTAATCTTGTGAGCAAATAAGCTAAGTAATCCATTAATAAATTTTTCTTTCCAAAATGATTTAGTACAGTCTTCTCTTAACATAACTCGAGAGGTAAATACGTCTTTATACCATCTAAAATCACTTAATGTTGGACAGGTAAGATTACTAAGTTGATCATGGATGCGAGAATAGATATTTGTAGGCGTACCAATGAAATGTCGGACTATTGTATAGATTAATTGATTGATTCCGTCAGGGTGACAACATCCTATAGTTTCATCAAAGATAGGTAGACCATTTTCATCAGTTTGATTAGCATATATGATTGAGTCACGTTGTTCTTCAGTAAGGTATTTTTCCCACCAGGATTTGAGCATGCCAGTGAAACCAGAGGTAATTAAGGAAACAATTTCAGGTTGAGAATATTGGGGATAATTACTGAGATAACTATTTGCAACCATAGATAGACGATTTAATTTTTGAAGGATCTGATCTTCACTAAGACCATCAATATTCCATTCGTATAATCGTTTAGCAGATACAGAAAATTGATTATTAAGATTAGTTTGTTCAAATTGGAGATCAGGTGGAGTAGGTCGAGAATACTAATTTTTGGTAGTTTGAGGATTCTTTGGGATAATGAATTTTATTAAGATTAGAAGATTGAAATTGTTGGGCTAATTGATCTATTTCATTATCAGTAGTTTCGGTTTCAGATTGATCTAAAACAGTGTCGGTAATAGGTTGTTGATTTAAAACAGTAAGACCTTTATCTTTGGATGTAGAAGTATCATTGGGAGTTAATTTAGTAAATAAATGTTCAATAGCTTTGACAGTAGATTGATCATTAGTAATTAAGCTAGTTCGTTTAGAACGATGACTAGGGAGATTAAGTAAAGGTTGATCTAAGGGTTTAGTAAATTTTGCGGATTGTTCATCTAAATTAGTTTCTAGTTTATCTAATTGTTTACCAATGGTTTTTAGACATTGATTAGTATAATTATTTTGTTCAATAACTTTTTTAATTTCAGGGTCAGTGCCAGGCAATTTAAAAGGAGAGGCTGGAACTTCAGAACCTTGATGATCAATAATTATATTTTCTAATGGAGGATGATTAGAGCTAACAGAAGTATTGGGAGAAGTTTTCCATTTATGTTTTGCGATTGTGTTGATCTTTTTATAATATTGATCCATATAGTCAAAGAAAGATAATTCAAAACCATATTGAACCATAAAATCATACCATTTTCTAGTTATTCTGGATTGTTGAGTAGAATCATATTTAGCACGATAAGCATGTCTCTTAGCTCTATTTTCTTTGGATCTAAAGTCAATAAGTAATTTATCTAAATTAGGAGTAAAATCTTTTTTGATTGTCATTAATTGGGGATTTACTGGAGGTATAAATTCGTCGAAATTAGTTTGAGTTGGAGAAGTATTAGAAGCAACGTCTTCTTCTGGTAAATGTGTGGGAGTAGTATAAACAGGTTTACTAATTTGGGAAGTGGTAGAATTATCAATTCCTTTTAATTTATTTTGGGAAGTTTGGTTGGTTGGACCAAGATGTATTTGACTATTTTTTCGAAATAAAGGAGTGTTAAATATTTCATCTTTAGTTGTAATTTCAGTAGGGATACTAGAAGTACTATGCCTAGAGGATTGGCTTCGATTAAATTTAATTCGGACAGAACCATCATTATATTGTTGAATATCTTGAATATCTTGAATTGAGGATTGTTGTTGATTGTGTTTGTAATTTTCATTGACAGTAACCCATTGATAAGGTAAATCTATATTCTTCCATTCAATCATTTGAGGAACATTAATATTGGATTCATTACTACTACTGCTTTGAATTAATAAAGTTTTATCTTTAGGGCTTTTGTGTAAAGCATGAACATTTAAATTAGTTTGCATGCATTTATAATGAACACGGTAAATTAAAGCAATGTTATGAACTTTTTCTTTCATGTCAGTAAATGAACCATGTAATTGAATGTTTAATGTTAGCGCATCTAGAATATGTGGATCTCATAAACTAAGTGTAAAATCAGGAAAACAATTAAAATGTACTGGACCTTTATGAAGGCCAGTTTCCATCATACCCATTGAACTATCATTGTAATTAAGAAAGCGAGCATCTCTTAAACATAATAAAACAGAAGTGTTTTTGCCTACCATCGTTAATGGATTTACACCAACTTGAATTTAACCAATATGCATAAAATTATAACCATTATTTAAATGTCTTTTGATTAATTTTTTATCAAATAATTGGCAGGTTTCCCTAGGTTTTTCTAAAGCATAAACTTGTTCAATAGTTTTAACATGGAGAGCAACTTTAAAAACATTATGTAAAAAAGTAGTTTTATAAATTTCTTTAATTGGCAGTTTGGGTATATTCCATCCAGCATCAAATTTATCATTTTGTATTTCAACATCTTCTTCATTAATTACTAATCCTTGATTAGGTATTGAGGGCAAAGTTGTTGACCTAGAACTTACTGATGAGTTACTTCTAAATAATCGACTCATTGTTCTGTTTAATTAATCAGTTTTACAGATATCTTAATACATACCCTATTCTTGTCAGTTTTACCTCATAGCTAGTATACATACATACCCTATTCGGAAGACCCCTAAGTCCAACACGGCCTAACTCTAAGGACTTACTCAGGACAGGGACGAAAGTGGGTGACTCAAATGGATAAAACAAACTGATCTTTTGGGTGATTAAGATGAACTGAAAACAAGATTAATCAAATAAACAATAGAGAAGATTGACTAGAAGCAACAAAGCAGTCAGAAACAGGAGACAACATCACTTGGCTCTGATAAAGCATGAACATTTAAATTAGTTTGCATGCATTTATAATGAACATGGTAAATTAAAGCAATATTATGAACTTTTTCTTTCATGTCAGTAAATGAACCATGTAATTGAATGTTTAATGTTAGCGCATCTAGAATATGTGGATCTCGTAAACTAAGTGTAAAATCAGGAAAACAATTAAAATGTACTGGACCTTTATGAAGACTAGTTTCCATCATACCCATTAAACTATATATTATATTATACATGATAAAGTCATTTTAAAAAATATGTATAATTTATCATATATAATTTATGTAATAAATTTTATAAATTATAATTTTTATCATATATAATAAAATTTCTAATTATTATTTCTTAAAATATCATATATAATAATAATTTTTGTAAATTATTATTTCTTAACTTTTTAACATATAATAAATAAAATAAATTATCTAATTATTTAAAAGAAATCTAATTAAATCACATATAATAAAAAAATTATAAAACAAAATATCTAATTCGAGTCCCGTCTTCTCCCACAAGTCTCTCGTGCCTAGGCGGTCATGTGTGCCAGGTTTCGTGTTACTCTGACGCCGTTTGGTGATTTTGGGACGTTAACACTTCGAATTCTAAGTTTCTTAAGAAACTAGTTTGTCCAAAGTAAAATTCAGCTCTAACTCCCAAATCGGGAACCCGATTCGAGTCTCGTCTTCTCTCTCGTGCCTAGGCGGTCGAATGTGCCAAGTTTCATGCTAATCTGACGCCGTTTGGTGATTTTAGGGCGTCAACACCTCGAATTCTAAGTTTCTTAAGAAACTAGTTTGTCTAGAATAAAATTCGGTTCTAACTCCCAAACCAAGAATACGATTCGAGTCCCGTCCTCTCCCACAAGTCTCTCGTGCTTAGGCGGTCGTGTGTGCCAAGTTTCGTGCTACTCCGACGCTGTTTGGTGATTTTGAGCCGTTAACCCCTCAAATTCTAAGTTTCTTAAGGAACTAATTTGCCGAGACCGAAATCCGGCTCTAACTCCCAAACCGGGAACTCGATTCAAGACCGGTCTTCTCCCACAAGTCTCTCGTACCTAGGTGGTCGTGTGTGCCAAGTTTCATGCTAATCTGATGCCGTTTGGTGATTTTGGGACGTTAACACCTCAACTTCTAAGTTTCTTAAGGAATTAATTTACGGAGACCGAAATTCGGCTCTAACTCCCAAACCAAGAACCCGATTCGAGTCCCGTCTTCTCCCACAAGTCTGTTGTGTATAGGCGATCGTGTGTGCCAAGTTTTGTGCTAATCTAACCCCATTTGGTGATTTTGGGAAGTCAACCCCTTAAATTCTAAGTTTCCTAAAGAACTAGTGTGCTGAGACCGAAATCCAACTCTAACTCCCAAACCAAGAACCCGATTCGAGTCCCGTCTTCTCCTACATGTCTATCGCACCTAGGCGGTCGTGTGTGTCCAGTTTGAACTAGTTTGCCTAGACCAACATCATTTTGGTAAAGATCCATCATGTGAACATAAAACTAGTTTTTTCAAGTCACCAAATAAATGCTACATACACTACAATAAAAAAGGATAAACACAAGAACCTAAAGTGTAAAGGAAAATAAAGCAGTTTATTTGAAATGATAATCTCTATGGGAAACCTCTTGCAACATCTTTACATGTTTTGGATCTCTTTAAAGCCAAAAAACACCAAGACAATTGCCTAAGGTACGATTTTCAAGATGTAGGAGGATAGCAAACAATTTAAATGCAAATTCATTAAATATGTACCTTGAGTGTATTCTTAGTTGAAGAAAGCTCAAAAGGTTCAATGATCAAAATTGACGCCTTGCCTAGCTTCAGCCATGCTTACTTGGATTGACCTGCTATTTAGGTCCTACAGCAGAGATTATAAGTTAGTTTTAGTCACAGAAAAAGTGAATTTTGGATAATAATACCTTACAGTAGATGTAAACTCTCGGTTGGGTAAATTGGATAGAAACAAAACAAGGTGAGAAGTCCATGAGAATTTTGGAAATTTTATATTCAATTTGATCAATGAATGAATGTTTACAAACACTTCTCCAGTATGTCCATGTCCCACATAAACAACATATACCATCTGATGTTATTGGTAAATAAACACATACTAGCACAAGAATATACTATCTCCAGTTACAAAATCTTGCAATCATGCTCATAATAAATAATTAGCAGTGTCAAAAATCCTATAAATAGAAAGATTGATGGACATCCAATGGTGTCCTTGAACTTTGGAACACTAATACTTGGTCTCATTGATGCATGTTAACAAACAAAAGGTACATGAACACTAGACCACCAGTTGGCACTACCATGCCCAACATACGAATATAATAAATTGTCAAATGTTATAGGTAGATAAAAAGCGTAATAAGGATATGTGTATGTCATTGAGTATCACCTAGTAGCAAAATTTGTTTGGAAATCTAATAGTTATCTTTTGAAAAATAAAATTAGAAAAAAGAAAATCTATAAAATTATACACATAAAACTAAAGTAATGTTTGGTGTCCATTAAAAAAAAAATACTTGAATGATCACATACTTGCCACAGAAGAATCCTTTGAGTCGGAGCACCTGTAGGAACACCCTCCGGCCACATTGGGATGACAATATATGCAGAAAATCTCTCTGTTCTGATTTTATTTGCAATTTTGAGAGCAGTTTCCATTCGTATTAAATTTTTTGCACCTATGGATAATAAGAAACATATATATCATCCTCAAAATGCTCACTTTCACTGTCTAGAAAATTTGTAATTTCACAACAGCCACCCTATCTTTCCTCAAGATTATAATGTTTTTATTTTCCTTGTCACGTTTGTTTCAGCAAGCAACCAGAGCATGAAAAATGAAGAAAATGAAAACTAGGGTAATGAGTTAGATATTAACCATTACAAGCAGCTGAAAGTGCATAATTTCCACAACAAATGACAATATATGAGTTACTGTATACTCGGATACCTATATATAATTTTCACAATACAACTTTTAATATGTGATAGTAACAACATATCCTTATTTTTTCCCTTTTAGTTTACCCTGAATGTCAATTCCTCACCCAAGTCTCTGTGGTTAGTCCAATTGTATGATGACCCAATGAAGTACTGGTTCTCAATGTAAATGAAATGTTGGGCAGCACAGATTGCCTTTAAATATGCAGTATGTATACTCATGTCTATCAGGACATTCTTCCCACATACCAGGTCCTGTTATAATGAAGGGAAGATATTAAGAAGCACACCTCATAAACAAGATTGACGGAAAAATAATCAAGGGCAAATCACAATCAAAATTTTCTCTCAGCTTGCTTGTGGCATCTTTTGGGACTTTTGGAAACCCCTTCACAGAATTGGAATCAATTGAATGAAAAAACTATAATTTTTAAATAAGTTAGTTAATAGAAATTGGGTATTTAATAATTTTGAATATCTAATATAATAGCCTTCATAAACTAACATACCTGGACATGCCAAGCTTCTGGACCATCCTCATTTAGGCAAGACACATCTGTAATTCCAATGATGTCGGGAATTCTATCAATTATGAGTAGTAAATTAAGCAAACCCATATAAACCATGAAACAAAAGAGGCAGCTTTTACTTGAGGGAGTCGAATTTGGAAATTAAGAGCGAATTTGGAGATCACATAGGGTCATCAACCTAGAGCATGAGATTCAAGCCTTGAAGATAAAAAAATAAAATATAAATAAATAAAGTGTGAGCGAGAGAGAGACAAGAGAATACATACCAATGTTAGGGTTTACGAGGGCAAAAACGTGCTCAACAAATTCGAGCTCTCTAGAATCCCTGGTTCCTTATATTATAGTGTGATTCTACATTGATGCTCTGCAGATTCGAGCTCTTGCCGGTGGAGGAGTTGGGATGAGAGTGAGATGAGTAGCGGAGTCAGAATGAGAGTGAGATGAGTAGCGCGAAGATAGAGATGGAGAGAGAGAGAGAGAGAGAGAGAGAGAGAGATTTGAACGTGAAAATGAGAGAAGAGGGAAAAAGAAATTATAGGCGCCAAAGGTTTGAGGAAAATTGGAAAAATTGGAGATTTTGGACTATTTGTGAGAATATATATTGATCACATTTATGGGATTTTATTTATTTTTTGTTAAAATAAATTTTAGTTACTAAGGTTGAAAATTTATTTGTTTCATTTTTATTTTAATGAAAAAAATTTATTATTATTATTTTTTGTTTGGTAGAAGTAGGGGTAATATTCTAATAAAAAATATTTTCTATTAAAATAAAGTTAATTTTTGTGGTCAATGAAAAATATTTTTCTGCGGCCCATTTTTTTGGTTACTAAAAATTAGGAACTAATTTTTTGTGGTAGAGGAAAGGGAGCGGCAATAGTGGTGAAGGTGGTGGATAAGAGGTGATGGTGGTGGTGGTGGTGGTGGTGGCGAAGGAGGTTAGTGGTGAAGTTATGGTAGTGGTAGTGGTAAAGGAGATGGAGTGGCGTTGGTGGAGGAGAGGTAATGGTAGTAGTAGTGACAGTAGTAGTGGTAGTGGTAGTGGTAGTGGTAGTGGAGTGGTGGCGATGGTGGTAGTAATAGTAGTTGTAGAGGTGGAGTGGCAACAATGGTAATAGTAATGGTAGTAGAATGGCATTTGTAGTAGTGGTGAAGGTGGTAGAGACGATGGGTGGTAAGAGAGAGAGATAAGTGAGAGATAGATAGAGATAGAGAAAGAGAGACAGAGACAGAGTGATGAACGAGAGCGAGAGAGAGATAAAGTGGTAGCTAAAAGTGCATTTTATAGTAGTAGATCTATAAATCGAGAGGGAGCTCGGTAAATAAAGAAGAGGGGAGGAATGGAGTGAGCAAGGCATACACAGTGAGGGAGAGAGAGAGAGAGAGAGACAAGCAAACAGACAAGAAGACAGAGAAACAAAGAGAGAGAGGAGAGTGATAAGCGAGAGAGAGAAAGAGAGAGATAAAGAGAGAGAAAAGAGATGAACGAGGGAGAAAGACATAGAAAGAGAAAGAGAAAGAAAAAGAGAAAGAGAGAGAGAGAGAGAGAGAGAGAAGAGAGATGAACGAGAGAGATAGAAAGAAGAGAGATGAGCAAGAGAGATAGAGAGAAGAGTATGAGCGAGAGAGACAGAGAGAGAAGAGAGATGAGAGAAATAGAGAGAGAGATGAGCGAGAGAGACAGAGAAAGAAGAGAGATGAACGAGAGATATAGAGAGAAGAGAGAGAGAGAGAGAGACAGACAGACAGACAATAGTGATGAGTAAGAGAGAGAAGAGAGAGAAAGAGAGAGACAGGAAGATGAAAAAATGAGTGAAAAGATAAATGTTATATTAAAAGAGTAAGACGACGCCGTTTTTTTTTTTTTTTTTTTTTTAAGATTTTTTTTCTTCTTCCATTTATTCAAACCATTTTGTGACTGTATATATATGAAGCCGTCTCAAAGCTACAATAATTTTTTTTTACTTTTTTTTTGCAATGGTGCCTATTACAGTCGCAAAAAACTCACTTTTTTTTTTTTTTTGCGACTGCAGCTGGTGCCATCGCAAAAATTCTATTTTAATCACTTAAAAAAATAGAAATTATATTTGAAAATTATTCCTATATAATATGCTATTATATAACAAATTAATTAATATATATATATATATATATTAAAAATTATACTAAGCTTTCATTTTCAATTAATTGAATTATGATTAACAAACTAACAAAAAGCATTAATGGTATAATAGGATAGAAAGAGGATAAAAATAAAAAACACAATAATATTTAAAAGTTTTAAATTTACCTAGTTATACAAAAATCTAATATTATAGTACAATCTTGAATTTCCAATAATTTTTCACATTTTCTATAAAATAAAATGACAATAAAAAATAAAATGACATTTTCTATAGGGATTAAGTGTGAGACATATGAGAGGGGCTCTAGTGCGAAAATAGAAGAAATGGTTTACAGAGTGTCTTCTCGCTTCACGACATCAATACTTGTGCGAGAGGAGTAGGCTCAAGTGTGAGAGAGAAATGAGGGTTTGTAGGAAGTGTCTTCTTGGGTCACGGCTTGAGTGTCCGTGCACATGAAAATGAGTGATAAGGGTCAGAGTGTGTCTCTTGGGGTCACGGTTTTAGTGTTCCGAAACACAAAACCATAGCATATTAATAAAGAGAAATAATTAGTGATAAAATATTTTCGTATCCTTAAATACCAGAATAAAGAATTTATTATTGGTGATGAAATATTTTTGTCTTCCACAACTTAACCTTATGAGACAAAAAATATATTTGTCACGCAATCAATTTGAATTTATTAGTGACGAAATATTTTCGTCTCCTACAACTTATTCTTTCGAGACAAAAATATATTTGTCGCCTATTTAATAGAAAGATGAAATGACATTGTCTGCATGATGGAGTGTTTATTGGTGACAAAATATTTTTGTCTTCCTTAACTTATCCTTCCTAGACAAAAATATATTTGTCGCCTAATAAATGGAAATATGCAACGACATCGTTTAATAGGTGTGGAATTTATTGGCGACGAATTACGTTCGTCACAAAAAAAAAAAAAATTTTGTGACAAAAATGTTCGTCTCCAATGAGTTAAAATAATTCGCGCTAATGCAAATGAAATTGGCGCCTCATTTTTGCAGACGAAATTTTGTTTTCATCCCCTATACTTTTGAGAAAAATTAAAACAAACGACAAAAGTAATATTTCGTCATCTTTGGGTTAAATTTTAAGACAAAAAAAATTTTCGTCACCAAATTTTGTCACAATAGCCTAGATTTCTTGTAGTGCAAGAAATTGAACCTTTGGAGAAGAAAAATAATCCGAAATCAACTTTGTTACCACTAGTGAAGATGAAGGCACAACCAAATAATACAGAGATGAGATAAAGAACTCACCAGATGGGGATGCCAACCGCCCAAGACCATTCTCCTTATCTGAGAGGCCAACCAAATTCTGATCTAAAAAGGTAATCAATCTGCTTAGTTCATCAGCCTCCCATCCTAATAACCTTCTTCTAAACCTGAAGTTCCATCTAGGTGAGACTTCATTCCTCTAGACCACCAATCTCAGAGACACCTCATTTTCTGTTGATAGACTAAACAACCTAGGAAATTCATTCTTAACACAGCATGGCCCCATCCAGTAATCAGTCCAAAAATGGATTCTGCTCCCATTACCCACCACCACTTGATTATTATCCAAAAAAATGCTCAAAAGCTGAGGATTTGATTGACCTCTGCTAATGATTCCACTCCAGATTTTTGAATAAGTACTAGTGAGAGTCATAATAGGCAGCCAATTCCCATCCATTGACCCATACTTGCTACACAATATTCTTTTCCACAAGGTGTTTGATTCAGCCCCGAACCGCCACAACCATTTGGCCAAAAAGCAAACATTAACCATCTTAATTCTTCTAATACCCAACCCTCCATTGTCTTTACTTTTGGTTGCTTCTAACCAGCTGACCAAGTGGACTTTTCTCTTCAATTCAGACCTTCCCCAGAGAAAGTTTGCTTGAATCCTTTCTATTACCTTAGCCATAGATACATGAAGCTTAAAGATAGATAAGTGAAAGATAGGAAGACTATATAACACATATTTTATAAGCGTTGATCTCCCACCAAGCCTCTACTAAGCAGCTAATTTGGCTCTGCAATTTTCGATGACCGGTTTCCATGTTTTCTTCAACCTGGGACTAGCCCCCAAAGGCAGACCAAGATACATCAGTGGAAACTTCTAACTTGCACAGTTAAGTCTGGAAGCAAACTCCTTCACCTCAACATCAGACACTCCAATTCCACATATGGAGGAATCTAGCTTTTTCCATTAATATGTTCAGACCTTGAGCTACCAAATTGAATAGGAATAGAGACAACAGATCACCTTGCCTGAGGCATTTTTCAAGAATGAACTCAGTCGTAGGGGAGCCATTCACTAACATAGACACTCTGGCCGATGCTAAACACTCCTTGACCCAACCTCTCCACCTTGCCTGAACCCAAACTTTTCCATCATAGATAACAAACACTCCCAACTGACAGAATCATATGTTTTCTGAAAATCCAGCTTAAGTATCAACCCTTTACTTCGACTCCCCTTCTACCAATCAACAATCTCATTCGCAATGAGGATTCCATCCAGAATATTTCTACCTTCCAAAAAGGCTTACTGTACCTCTCCAACCACCCTGGGCATCACCTTCTTGATTCTATGTGACAAAACCTTAGCTACAATCTTATACAAAGACCCAATAAGACTAATTGGTCTAAAATCTGATAAACTAGTAAGGCACTCAATTTTTGGGATCAAATTGATAAAAGAATTATTCGCACCGCTCAAAAGTTACCGCTGTGACACCCAATCAAACCCCACGCTAAAAATTCATTCAAAATGTCTTCACACATAACCAAAAAACAAGGGAATTTCAAGAAAATACACATACCCCAGGACCAAACGGAGTAATAAAAATATTTAAGGACTAATTGCACCAACATTCCAAATTACAGGATTTATCAGTAACTCTCCCTTTACAAAACGGCTTTACGAAAACTGTTTTCAACATTTTTTTTTTTTTTTGTATTTGTATTTGTATTTTTTTTTTTCTTTTTCACATACTCAAATCCGTAATCTAAATACATGGACAGTTGTAGTGCTTGTGACTTTAGTTACTATATAGTCTAGAGAGGGTCAATTATACACCATCTTACCCATAAAACCTACCTCACAAAAAGAAAATAAATAAATAAATAAATTTCAAGCCCTTTTAACGGGGCAATGCAAAATTGAACACAACAAGATTTTGTGGGAAGCAGATAGGCAGTTTCGAGTTAAAAAGAAGAGCAAAAAAGAGACAGTTGGGGTTACAGTGTTTGATATGTGAATGAGTGAGTGCTGTGGTAGGTTGGACACAACCTTGACTTTCTGCTGTCCCTTTGCTGGTAGCTATAGGAACAAGATGAAATAGTCATTTTTTAGTCTTCTAATGAAAATATTATTAAGTTAAAATGGTGAGTAATAATTTTGTTTGTAAT